AACAAATTGAATTAACTATACCAGATGATTCTATGAATAAAATTTCATTCATCTGATTATTGAAATTTTCACATTAGTTTTTTATTATTATAAGGAAATGTTATATGGTGAACATACACCTCTTGTTATTATCAAAAAAAAATTTTTTAATGATTATATGCTATCTATTTTAAATTAAAGCAAACCATCTTGTTATTTACTTCATTGAAGTGACCTATCACCATGCCTCTTAGTATTATTTATTTATTATTTTATTAGTATTTTTATATTCAACATTTATATATATTGTTTTAACATTTTTATCATCTATAAGGCATCAGGAAAATGTGTTTTTTGATACACATATTATATGTATATTATACATGTATTATTTTAAATTACAGGTGATCTGCATATAATATATGTATAATTTGCGTGTAATTTATGGACATGTGTATTATATGTATATTATATGTGGATCACCTGTAATGTAAAATAATACATGTATAATATACATATAATACATGTATCAAAAAAAAAAATTTTTCTGATGCCAAATACTACAAATTATAATAATAATAATTGTGAGATAAAATTGAATCATAAAGAAAGTTTCAATAATGTTATTCAATTTGATTTGATCTGCAAGGAATCAAAGGAACCAATTTCATCAGAATTTTTGATCCTTGTTTTAAATCAAACACCCAACAAAAGTAAAAAATTTGTTCCCAACAAATTATTTTATCCTAATGTTAATTCCATTATCATAGTTCTTGCTATTGTTGTGTCATTATCATTATCATTATCCTTGTCCTATTCTTATTTCTTAAGAAATCAATTCATTCCTGTAAAACTCTGATTTATTATTTATTTTAAATGGTAATGTTAATCATTAAAAAGCCAAATATTCATCACATGATTCAATGTCAGTTTTTTTTATAGTTATGAAACTATGTGAAATTGAAATTTATAATTGAAGTTTTGGGGTGGTGGGGTATTTGGATATGAAATTCTGTTGGCTAATTTGAATTTCACATATGTGAATTGCAAATTCACATAGATTTCATTTTCACGCACAGCAGTTCTAAATAATGGTCAATTATCATCTAATATATCATTTGATTTTAATTGGTTGAGAAAATAATTTAATTGTGCAACAAATAAAATTAATTTTTTTTTCTTGCAAAGAAAAAATCAACAATGATTTTAGCACTTGAGCTTTAGGTGAAGTATTTAAATACAATGATGATGATTATAAAACATTATATTCTTGCATACTTGTCAATAAACAATGGCATAATATTAACCTTCCAATTTTATGGAAAAATCCACTTTATTCTAATGGTAGTGTCAAAATAATAATTAATTGTTTATTGAAAGAAGATAAAGATTTCTTAACAAGGAATAGCATTAAATTAACTTTTATTGGATAAATCACCATTATATAATTATGCTAGATTTTGTACTGGATTTTATTTCACTCATTATTATTGTTTTCAATCATTGCTGACAAATTCTTTCAGATTAATTATTTTACAGATTGGGTTAACAAATTTTATTTTTAGATCATTCAGCAGTTATTAGAGAGTTTAATGCTCTTAATATAAATTTTTATCAGTTAAATAATCATCATAGATTTGATAATTGTTTTCAGAATCTTAACAAATTAGTTTGTAGTAATTCTGTTAGTAATGAATTTATTGATAAATTAGCAAATATTTGCAAATGTATTCAATCATTAGAAGTGTTTAATATGTGTGACAATAAACTTCAAGATAGTCTGGCTCACTTAATTAAAGCACAAAATAAAATAAAGCAATTAGCCATTGATTACCACTCTTGTCAAATTTTATCAGATAATTTTAAAAAAGCAATTCTCACACATTCACAATCAATAATTTATTATTCAAGTGATGGTGGATTAAACAATATAAATCATATATTATTACCAGCATATAAAAATCTAAAGACCTTGTCACTTAATTTTTATTCTGCTGATGAAACAAAATTGTTGAAAAATATTTCACTTCCAAATATTGAGTCTGTGGAAGTATATCAATACAAACAACTATCTCTACCAGATTTGTCTGAATTTATTAACATCATGGAAAAACTCTTAAATATCTGAATGTTAGCAGTGGTGAGAGTAATAGTGAATTTTTGGGAAAACTATTTCAATCAATTGCAAAACAGTGTAAAAATCTAGTAAATTTATCAATATTTTATAATGATGAAGTAAACCAGGAGTTAACAAAAGTATTCAACATTGTATTAAATTAGAAAGTATTAAACTGGTTATATTTGATGGTGATAAAATACTTTCAGTGCTAAATCAAACATTACCAAAAAAATTAAAGTCAATAACATTTTCTTGTAGTTTTTATATTGTTAATGTCAATTCTTTTGATAATCTAATAAAGAATTGGACAGGACCCAAACCTTTTACAATAAAATTTAAAGATTATGAGAAATTAATGATTTGATAAAACACAAATTTTTATATTTATTATTTAATATATTATTATTTGATTTTATTTGGAAAAATAAATCATTGTATTATTGTGCAAATAAAATAAAGTTTTTTTCTTTACAAAAAAAAAAAAAAGTCCACAATGATTTATAATTCATTGTTTTAAATTTAAATGATAAATATAACAATGATGAATAGGGAACCACAATTAGCTGCAATTCAATTTTCATATGCTGCAATTAGTTGTAACTAATTGAGGAGCCATCTTTAATGATGAATGACAATTATTGCATTGTTGAAAATCCCACTTCAATTACTTCTTAAACAGGCATAGTGCAATCAATGTGTTCAAAGAAGAACAAGAAATGAAGTGCGGAACCAGTTCACAGTTGTAGATGGAAAAGCCAAATGCAATTATTGCACTAGGTAAAATTTTTTTTTTGACTTTCGAAACCAAAAAACAACTCTTAAAATTACAGCATGTTCAAATTATTTCATAAAGTATTATAAGTATTATCACAAAAAATCAAAAAGAATGGATAAAATTACAAATGGTGTTCTATTAAATTTGATTGAGTGTGTGCCAAAGAGAATTGATGCAGCTGATAGAATATTGAGTTTCATTAATTTAATAAAAATGTTAGAGATGTGAAAGATAATTTGGTAAACCAAACTGCTAAGTTGCAAAATGTTTAATTATATTGGACACCCAAATTCATTAACCACACAAATCACATCAGATTGGTTCTGAAGATTATCTATATAAAATTTCATCTCCTAGAACTTTAAAGGTTTTCGTTAATTTTAAAAATTAGACATTTTGATAGAAATTTCAGATTTAATTGACAATAAACATGGTCTGATAATTGGTCCTTGTGGAGTGTGTCTTTGTTAATAGTCTAGTAAATTTTAAAAACAAGAATGAACTTAAGACTGCTTTCCAAAGAGAATAGTTTAATAAATTTGATAGAAAGCATGATCTGGAAGAATTCAAGCATGAATTGGAAGTGATGGTTGACCAACTAAATTATATTAATGAGGGTATAGCATGGTCTGATACACAATAATTCATTATTATAATGATGTTAAAAGTCTACATGAAGTAGAAGGCCCACAATTTTAGATTAAAAAAATAAATGGAATATTAAATAAAAATAATCATATTTCTACTGATAAACTAAAAAGCAAAACTCACAAAAGCAAGTGGAATTGAGATTTCTACTGAAAACAATTGTATAAGCTTAATATTTATTTATTCATGCATTGGAGCAGTAAAACCCTTTTATCTGGACAACAAAGAGAAAATTCTTGAAAGCTGGAGTGTTAGGAAGTGAAAACAATGGTATGGTGTGATTAATCTCGATTTACAATAGTAGAGATGGCAATATTATGATATTGAAAATCTTATCCTGTTGGTAAAAGGCTAGCCCTTTAGTTAGAGTAGAGAAGAAGATGAATAATTAAGATTTTAGAGGAGAATTTATTACCTTATCACAAATGAATTTAGATCAAGGCAACCACTTGATGAGTTCAGAATTGGAAAGAGGAATGTGCTGAACTTTATTATTTTTTTTTTATTTTTCTCAATGATAAAGAAATATAAATTATCAATATACACTCTTCAAAACCTAAGCAACATAAAATTTATATTTATTACATCAAATACTTTTTGTCCAGGTAATCTACGTTGTGCATGAGATCGAAATTATGTGAATTTGAATTCAATTTTCACATGTTATTTATTAGTGTTTGTTTAGTTTTGAAATTGAAAGTTCAATTAGATCATCTTTTTGGCTTTAAATATGACAAATAGTAATTCTACAACTTGATGTTCTTATTTACAGCATTTGGAAGCTATAATTATTACCATAGCTCTAGCCTTTATTTGCCACCTTGTTCGATTAAAAAGAAAAAATGCAAATAAATTCTAGAAATCTGTTTATTTGGGTTAACATTAATTAATATTAATAATAAAGTAATATTATTAATAAATTTTGATTTTGATTTTGATTTTCTAAAAATTTTTGAAATCGAAGCTACGTAATACTAATGCTGATACCAAATTAAAGTGAATCAATTTTCTAAATTGTTATTTATTGATGTTGAAAATAAAAATTTTTTATCCTAGATATTCACAATAGTAAGAAAAAACAACTCCTCAAAAAAAAAAAAAATACCTCCTCGAAACATTAGTATATATATATTAAATTATACGATCTTCACTATAATGAGTTCGCAACCAAATGCTAACTCAGAAATCCAAAGATTCGTTCAGGAAGCCTGAAAAATTGACGAGCTGTTTGATTCATTCATATCGATCTCATATCAATCGACTGGAAGTCTAATAAAAAATTTGCTTCCAAATGGAAAAACTTAAAAAAAACTTGGCGTGAAGTTTTGCAGGAATCGAGAGATGAGATCTCTGGCTTGGACAATTTTATGCAAAGTTTTGCCAACGTGGAACTTCCTTTTCTTCAAGATATCAATCATACCATACAAGAGAAATTGAATTCTTTGGAAAATTATATCCTGGTAATTATAAGCTGAAATCATGAAAAGTCTTGAAATATTATTGGTTAATTCAACTTTTATGATACTACATCCAAAATATTCTAACAGGAGGCCAAATCGAACCGGAGTAAAGTGGAAGGCGTTCGACAAACTCTGTGACAGCATAAAAACCTTTTTGGCTAGTAGGGGTTTTAATGAAATTCAAGTGTATCACAACGTGACCATCAAGACTCTGTATGAAGCACTATCTGAGTGGGCAATAGCGTTTAAGGATTTTGCATACTCCAGTTTATGTCAAATTTTTAAAGAAGAATCAAACACTACCGACGATGGAGAACTTAAAAAAGCCACTGGAAAATTATGGAATCAAATCACGAGTTGCTTTTGTGAGTGGTTGTGATTTTGTAGAATAAAATTGCTATTTGACTGACTTTAAAAAATCCCACATACTATTTTATTGATTTATTTTCTATTTACAATACGCAGCAAACCAGGTCAAACAAAAAGAGACTAAAGAGAGTGAAAAAGTTGAAAAAAACACACGTGAATTGGGTAATACAATAAAATTGTTTAGCAATGTCTGGGGGTGAGTTTAGTTCCGATATTCAAAAAATTAAAACCAATTTAGAAAGGATCAGACAACCAGTGGTCAATAATGATTTCGACTCGGGATTATTCCAGGGACAATTAGGATATGCTTATGGTGCTATGAAACCCCAAGAAGAATCTGGGGTTGTATGCTCGAAATATCGATTGCGTTACAACGCAGCGGCACCAAAAAAACTCATACTTTTGAAAATATACGTATCTTAAAATTTATATTTAATGCTTTTGTTCTCTATCAACATATATTTATCTTTCTTATGTTTCCATTTGCACCTCTTATTCTCTATATTTTCAAATTTGATTACCTCTTTGATGTTAATAAAGGAAGGCAGAATTTTATTAAAATGGTTAATAAATGAGAATTGTATCCATTTTCTGTTCATTAACTCCTTTTTGAATACTCGAATATTCAAAATGGAATTACGAGTTAATATTGCGTGTCGGATGGTCAATCAACATGTTAGCACTCAACCCAAACATCTTTTAATTTTATAAAAAAGAAAAAATCCAAAAATCTTTAAATATCAAAACGCTTAACCTTTGTTTGTTTGAGTGTTAGTGATATACACAGGACAAAAGAATTGGAACAAAACTTATATATTAACAACTCATAAAATTATATATAGTGGTATGTATGTAGCAGGTTATGATGAAATTTTATGCTTCAAGTAGTGATGGTCACCAAAACTAAGGAGTTTTGAAATTGTTTAGTTTTGATAAGTTTCGAAACTAGTTTCACAATGATC